GTGCTATTATAAAGTCTGTCATACTCAGATAATCAGGTAATCATAAGCATTTTAATCAGCATCACTTGTCCTCAATTTACCATCGTAACCTTTTATGGAAATAAATAGAATAAACTTACTTTTTTAAAAGCTCCAYGTGCATTCAGTTGTTCTTAACTGCATCATAACATGGTGTAATARAAGATGCATTTTTGATCACCAGGGATTGCATTAACTTATTTAATTAAAACATGGAAAGAACCAGATTTTTTTAAATGTTTCACTCAGAACAAAATATACAATTAAAGTATGTTTATGTGCTTATTTTAATGTGYGAGTAAGTTGAGACTTTATGTTTTCCAAGCCATTCGTTATCACAGTCAATACAAAGTGCCTTGTGTTTGTGTTTGCAGCCAACATTTTGAGAGAATGCTGGATGAGTTCCCCATTCCTCTGCAGCTCTGCAGGGGTGATGGTTGCATATTACTATTTATCAATCAGGAATCAATAATTATGATTGAGGTGTTGAGTGCTTGCTTCAGCAGGGTATTGACTGGCTTAAGGGCTGGGCCTTGTGCCAATTCTCATTAGAGTTCCCTGTCCTTTCCCTTTTCTTTGTCTCTCGTCTCTCTCTCCCCCCCGCTGACGTGGGCACCTGGTGATTCAACCTTATGGCGGTCCTTAGTGTTCTAATAGAAACGTATTGATCACAGGCTTTACGCCATTTCTGCTGCTATCTRGATGTTCATAAATAGAAAAGACAACAGGAGGGTTTCTTTTAAATGCAATCAAGTTTGCATTCACTGCTAAATGAAATCTTTTGTGAAGCAAAGACAAAAGAGGACACTTTTCCATTATCTGGTTTGAAGTTATAGAAATGGCTATATGAACTGCTGGTATAAGGCAATAATTGTAAAATAAAATGTGTTTTATTCACAACAAAGGAATGGAAGTCTGGTAAATTARATTATTTTGTGTATGTGATTGAAGGAGTCTCACAAACGTTTTAAAATATATCATTTCTGTTTTCAGTGCAAAGGAAGACAAATGCTCAGACAGGACAGAATTTTAGACATTTTAGACATAACTGA